TTAAGGATGTCAATGTTAAAAATGAGTTGTTTCTTTGAGCTGGTACTTCAAGGATGCATTGATAATGTCATCTAACATGACACTGAAACTTTTATTAACCAGAACTTTAGCTCAAAGAACAACTCAATCTGAACAAATATGGATAAGGTAGGAAGTAAAGTTACCTTTAAAAAGGTGAATTAGTTTACTGTTTGTTAATCAGATTATCTGAAATAACCTCAGTTAGAGGCTGATCTGTAAACATATTAGAATAATTAGTGAGATTTTAAAAAATTATTGGATATAATTGTACTAGCAGTCTGTTTATGGTTTGCTGATCCAACAGTTTGATTAACCAAATTACAAGATCAATTGAATGAGGTTGTTGATTAGAATTTTTCTGTCATCCAGATTTGTTTTCAGACCTTTTACAAGTAATCGCACTCACATAGGAATTAATGTTCCGTATTTTATATTTTGTGGAAGGAAGAGAAGGTACCTGACGATTGGAAGAAGGGTTACCTTGTCAAACTGCCGAAGAAAGGAGACCTCAATGTTTGCAAGAACTGGCGCGGAATCACTCTCCTGTCCACCCCAAGTAAAATATTAAGCCGCATCATCCTGGAGAGGCTTAAAGATGCACTGGATTCAAAACTGCGACCGGAACAGGCAGGCTTCAGGAAGTACAAATCATGTGCAGACCAAATTGCAACGCCACTCCACGCATCATCATAGAACAGAGCATAGAATGGCAATCAGCTCTCTAACTCAACTTCATCGACTTTGAGAGGCCTTTGACAGCGTCGACCGAGAAGTAATTTGGAAACTGCTTCACTACTACGGAGTACCGCAAACCTTTATCAGCCTCATTCAACAACTATATGAAGATGCCACATGCCAAGTAATTCACAATGGGAAGCTCAGTGATGCTTTTGAAGTGAAGTGAAGATAGGAGTGAAACAAGGTTGCCTACTATCCCCCATGATATTCCTGATTGTGGTCGACTGGATCATGCAGCAAACAGTGGAAAGCGAGAAGAGGGGGATATGCTGGCTGGACTGCGGAAAAGAACCTAGAAGACTTGGATTTCGCCGATGACTTGTGCCTGATGTCACATAAACTTGAAGATCTGCAGGCGAAAACTAACAAATTGATAGAAGAGGCAGCGAAGACGGGACTTCAGGTGAATATAGAGAAGACAGAAGTGATGAAGATACCGCACCACCACCATCAACAACAACAACAAACTCCAGTCACCATCAACGGGAGAAACTTGAAGGAAGTAACCTCCTTCACTTATCTAGGAAGCACTGTTTCAACTACAGGCGGGACGGACGAGGACGTCAAAGTGAGAATCGGAAAGACAGCAAGACAGGCGTTGATTAGCCTGAAACCAGTGTGGAGATCTTCTGCACTCAGCATGCGGAACAAGATACGGATTTTCAACACCAACGTCAAGTCAGTGCTCTTGTATGGCTCAGAGACTTGGCGCGTCACGAAAGGGATTTCCAATAAACTACAGACATTCATCAACAACTGCTTACGCTGGCTCGCTACTGAAGATCAGATGGATTGCCAGAAAGAATAAGCAACAAGGAGCTCTGGGAACGAACCAACCAAAAACCTATCACGTAACAAATATGCAGGAGGAAGTGGAGATGGATTGGGTATGCACTGAGAAGGCCGACTGAGGACATCACGCGTCAGGCCAGTCACTCGAGTGGAATCCCCATGGGAAGCGACGAGTTGGGCTTCCAAGTTGAGGGTGACATGGAGAAGGTCGTGCGAGGAGGAAATGAGAGCTTGTGGGCTGTCGTGGGACCAAGTTCAAAAGATCTCAGAGAACAGAGGTCACTGGAGGCGTGCTACTGAAGCCCTATGTTCCACTAGGAACCCAAGGGACTAATAATAATAATAATAATTTTATTTTTTAGAATTTTAATGAAATTTGCAGAAAAATATCAATTAGTAATTAGAGAACTTTTCTTACAATTGTATAATGGTCATAAACTGGATTTTAGCATTGGTGATTTCAGGGAGGCATAAGACACAATCAGATAAAGCTTATTTAAGAAGTAAAATTAAGAAAGTTATAGTTACTTTTATTCACTTGCTGAATAAGTTATAGCTTAACTTTCATGAGCACTCAAATGAAACCATTATTGATAATGAGTGATGACTGAGGGTGAAATGAAAACCTGAGTCACGTCAGGAATTGAGTCAGTGGCCTTTGAGTAATCGGCCCGGAGCTACGAGACCCAGGAGCTGATCAGATCTCAATTTTACTTCAGTCGCCAAGGGCTTTTCCCGACTACTATGTGAATTCGTGATGCATTACTATCGTTTGATTGCATTCATTCTGGGTACCCAGCCAGGACTTCTCTTCTCACTCCAAATCGAGCTGTATTAGAGGGGAAATATCATATTAGTGATCGGTTTTGACTGGCTAAGATAGTTGTCATTTAGTATATTTGTATTGATACTGGGTGATGGTTGAGGGTGAAATGAAAATCCACGAAAGCTTTCCATCTAAAGTCTTCCAAAACGTTGACTATCAAGAAGAAAATCTGGAACATTTTACTGGAAAATTCATACTATACAGTTCACAAAATAAGGGCCACATAATGATGATTTTCATCCTATTTTAAAAGAATTTATCAGTTCATCTGCTATGATTGAGTCAAATATGTCGGATTCATAAGGAAAATTCCCGTGAAATACAACTGTAAACGAAATACAGTTTAAAAAGAAAAGCCTTAGCAAACAAACTTCCATGTTTTTTTTAACATATCATATGAACTGCTCGCATCTCTTATACTGAATTTTGTCACTATATGTCACCCACAGACCTCCAAGGAATTTCCTTAAAATACACTAAAGTGTAACGTGTGCACATCATATGCTTGAACGATGTATAACCTCAAATATGGGAAACATGTCCAGGGATATAGAAAAAATGTCACAAGTCTGTAGACAAAGTAAAAAACTTAAATATATTTATAAATGCTTAGGGTCCCTTTATGTCATGTGTCATATTGTCTTACTGTATTTGTCCCTTGAGTTCCCAGTGGAACATAAGATATCAGTAGCACGTCAGCATCTCACTCTATTCTCTCCAGTCTTTCATACCTCACAACATGACTCCCCACAACCTCTCATTTATTCCTCACACAATCTCATCCATGTCACACTCACCTCGGACTCCAAACTCGTCGTTCCCCATTTAACTTCCACTCCACTCCACTCGACGGCCTGATCTGGCCTGACCTGACCTAGCCTGGTGCGGTCTGACACATGATTTCCCCAAACCATCTTCTCAGTCTATGCCCAATACTGTCCAAACCATCCTCACTTTCTCCTTCTTCTTCCACATATTGGTTGGACGATGTGTTGCTAGTTGGTTGGTTGGTTCGTTGCCAGGCCATAGTGACTTCCCCTTCCCCATTCTGGCCATCCATCCATCTGATCTGCTCTCATCTTATCTGACCTTCAGGATTACGTGAGCGTAGACGACAACTGTTCATGTGGTGCATGTTTGCAGTTCGTTCGAAATGCTTCTCGTAACGCATCAACTCCCTCAACAAACACATAGAAGCACTAACATACTTGACTGACTTCGTGTTGAAAATCCGGATGTTGTTCACGCTTTATGCTGAGTGGTGTGGTGTGGTGTGGTGTGGAGTGCAGTAGATCTCCACACTGACCTCCACAGATTGATGAAGGAAGGTCTGTCTTGCTGTCTTCGGGATCCTGTCTGCTATGACATCGTCATCTGTGCCACGCCGCTACCACTACTACCACCACCGTCGCCACCGCGGCTGCCTGTATTTGAGAGGATGCTGTCTGGGTAGGTAGGAAGGTGGAAGAGACAACTTCTTTAAGATTCCTCTTTTTCATGATGACAGGTTCTTGTTGTTGTTATTATTATTGTTTTGGTACCTTCATCACCTCTGTCTTCTCGATGTTCACTTGAAGGAAGTCCCATCTTCCTTCGCCGCCTTGCTTCACCTCGTCTCTCCCGCCATCTTCTTAGTTTTCGCCTGTAGATCTTCGAGTATGTGCCACAAGCTATTAGGTATAGATAATCATCGGTAGCGAAATACAAATCTTCTTCTGGGGTCTCTTCATCTGTCCACCCAGCCTATACCCATCCTCTCACAACTCATCACAGTTTGTTGCATGATCCAGTTCAGTTCAGTCCAGTCCAGTCCAGTCCAGTCCACTCGACTACAATCACGAAGATGATCGGTGATGGCAGATGGCACCCTTGTCTTACTCCTTCCTGTCTTCACTTCAAACGCATCACTCAGCTTTCCATTGTGAATCACTTGACATGTTGCATGTAGCATGTAGCATGTAGCATCATATAGCATATAGCTGGTGTTGAATGAGATTGATAAATGTTTGTGACAGTAAAAGTGTAGTGTTGAAGCAGCAGCTGTCTGCCGAATTAGTTGTCGGTCGACGCTATGAAAGGCCTTTTCAAAATCGATGAAGTTGATTGAGTGGGTCATGGGTGCAAACTGCTGAGGACGCAACAGCTATCCAGTGCTCCCAGGTTTCCAATGTTTCTCCATCTAATGTGAGTCCATGATTAGTTTCAACCTCTCAATTCATAAAGAGATAGTGTAAAAGTTTGTATAACAGCTTACACCTTTATTTTTAGTAAACAAAGCAACAACGATAAAAGGGTAAAATGAGGAGGTAAAAAGAAACAGAGAACTTGACGTTGACAGATCCACTAAGTATTTACCGGTAACCATGAACAAGTTGTACTACAGAGTAGAAGTTCTGTCGCATAACATAAATTTCAAAGGAAGATTTCGAAAACACATTAAGAATTAATATGTCTTCAGTCGATTAGATTGGAGCTGAAGTCGGAAGACACTAAGGCTTACAAATAGTTTGATATTTCAAATTAGACATCTTTCTTCTATAGCCAGCCTTAAGAGATTATATATATATATATATATATATATATATTCAAAATAATTTATTAAATTTGGAAATGTTTCACTTACTATGCTCCGTTGCTAAAGGAGGTGAAACTGCGTAGACAGTACGCCAAGATTTGTGTAGCATTGATTCTTCAGTTTCATTATTTTTAGATGCAAAAGTATCTGATAATAAAGGTGATTGAAGATTCATATTTACACTGTCTGTATTTGATCTAGAAGGTGATGTTATTGTAACCATTTTTGAATTTTCGAGACGTGATGGTCTTGGCAGAAGAGGTGGTCGAATAACTATTTTATTTGTTGATTTTTCACCTGCAACCTTTACTGTTTCAGTAGTAGTCTTATTACTATTTGTATTATTATTATTATTAGTAGTAGTAGTACTATTGGAACCCCTTAGTGAATGTGAGTAGGTAGAACGTGTTAATTTTGTTGGTGAATTACACTTTGATTGTTGAACATCTAAATTGTGACAGATAGATATAAAGAGGAATAAAAATGAAACTTTGCTCTACAATTGAACATATCTCATTTTAAAATACAAAACTAAAATATAGTTGAAGGACAAATAAGTAGGTAAGTGAAGTGATCAGTTAACAAATGATATGTGAATTGCAGAGTCCACTTTGATGTTCCATTTTATATATTAGACTGTGAAGTACACTAATTGGATTGTGTAAGGCCTATAATACTCCCACAGTTGAGTAGGCTGAAGACGGTGGAATACAGGTTGAACTCAGATCCGGGTGGTTGACAGTCAAGTGCTGAAGTCAATCAGCTACGATGATAATGAAATATCACACCTGATTACTAAACAACAAACACTAAGAATTTCTCGTAGGTATCGTATGAACGAGCAAAATGTACCTTTTAGTTGATCATTTTACTTATTTTACCTTTTCTTACCTAAAAAAAATATCAGAGATTGGACATTTTGAATATTTTCTTTAGCTTTCACTTATGTATTCCCTTAATGTTCAGACTTTTGCCTACATGATTATAATTTTTCCTATCAACTTTTTCATTGCATGTTGTTGTGATTTACGGCAACTTGAAATGATCCACTTCTTTCTTAGTTTCAAGGTTGATTAGTTAACATCTGTAGCATGTCAAGACCAAATCCATAACTTCTAAATCTACATACATTTAGTTAATCCCAAGACTTTGAAACTGATTACAGTTTAGTACAGTTAAAGCTGCAAAAGAAAACGGACGAATACATGATGGGTGTTTCTGAGTAATATGAGCAGTTTCAAACGCATCTTTTCTTTTACTCATTCCAATAACAATCTGGACAGAATGAATCGTCTGTTTTACTACAATAAAAGTAGTTGAAAACCATACCGATCAAGTGAAAGTACTTGCTAACCGAATTGAAGTGACTTAAGCACTTTATTGCTGCTCCACTCGTTTACTGCTGACCTTTTCAACAGTGTACTAAGATTGATTCAGCTTAGACAGCTTAATCGTTTAGATGGCTCAAAAATTAGTCAATTAAATGATTTGGTAATGATTTGAATCACACTAAGTGTTAGTTCAATTTCCAGTCTCTATTGAGAAGCACACAGATAAGCTTAATCATGTTGAGAAATCTCACTGTGGATTACATAGGAAAACCAAAACTTTCAGAGGAAGAATTGTGATCTTCTGAACACCAAGAATACAAGTAGAAAAAGTGTACTGAGTGAGTTACACATAGGCGTATCATTCTCATCATTGTCCAAGAATCCATCAAACACTGGCTTTGGTACCCAAAGAAAGGTGATCTGAACTTACATTCAGAATATAAATTATAAATGACACCAGCTGATTTCAAGTAAGTCAGTATTTCATCATTGGAGGATGATTTTATGTGTCATCTACATAAGATTAATTGCATACTGACAGTCATTCATTTTTATATCAATGACAGGGGGGAAGGAAAATAGACGACCCCATATTCCTAGATCATCCTACGAGCCTATATGGGAAATGAGTTATCTAATAACTATGTGTATTTGTCTTATTCCTTTTCTCCGCAGTTTGTTAACCTGATAAGTCATTGTTGCTCCCCACGGATAAATACCGCTGAAGATTTAGACTACTAACTAATGTTTCAGTAGTCCATAAAAAATGGCGAAGTAAAGTAATTTAATTAACAAATCAACTTTAATAATTATTGCGTGCATCATAAAAACTTTTTTTAAGAGAATAGACTTGTCCGGAGTACGTATGAGGTACAAGTCCTCTCGTAATTTATGCACTTGACTACAAAAGTCACTTTTACACTTTTGAAGACTATACCTATCATTAAAACTAAAACGATCTAGTAATTGTAGTGTCTTGTCTTGATGCGTTTAGAAAATACACAACTATGACTTCTTCACATGAATCTCATTGAGATAGTACGGCAGTCGTGCTCACAGGTATAACTGTAACCTTAGTTACACAGACAGATATTCTTGGTAGATATGCAAACCAAGTTGGGATTCAGTAGTCTGAAATGACATTTTCAACTTGTTTGATCCAAGACACTACAGCTCTTGATATTACTGGTCACATAATTTGTAAGGCTTTACTTTCTATAGTTGTATTCTGTGTTGTTTTCTTTTTATATTAACAAGCACACAAAACATGTTGTAAGGTAACCCGGAGGTTGTTGTTACAAATCCTGCTGTGAGCTAGATTTTCATTTCACTTTCAGTTGTCACGCAGTATCAGTTACACTTTAGCCGATAAATGGTTCTTAGTTTCAGGTTGGTATTCATCATAGACTGATACGGATTGAATAATCATTTGAAGTGTGGGAGAACTGGACGCCTGTTTCGTCCCATTATTGGACTCCTCAGCATTGCGCACCTATAACTCTGCCTCTCCAGTAGTCAAACCAAGGGCCTTTCGGTTCCACGGCCAGCACGTAACCATTGAGCTAGTCACTGGGTCGGAATCCAATGGTCCATATTTCCTACTTCTTAACTTGGTAGGTTAAATATATTTTCCAGTAGGTGAGAGGTAAGGTTTTGTTCAGATATACACAGAAAAGGTTATCAGAATAGAAATTTGTCTTCATCACCTACCTATATGACTATTATTAGTTGTTAATTTTGTATTAGTAGTATTAATGGTAGTTGCAGAAGTTACAATAGCATTGTTTTCCATATTATTACTACTATAGTTACTATTTTCTCTAATGGAATGCGTTTTATTCAAGTGTATGTTTAAGGAACGACGTCCAACAAATGTTCGATCGCATAAGGGACAATCTGTAATCATTGGGTTGAGTGTAGACGTTGCTGGAAAATTGTTAGTATTATTATGATTACTATTATTATTATTATCATTGATTATAGGCACTTGATCATCTGAATGAATATTAGAAGAGGAGGTGTTGAGCATGCTTGTGAGTAGCTTGTCGTTTTCAGTTGATTTTTTAATGTCTCTTTGGGCAACACATTCTATTGATTCGATAGGGATAGTAGTCGTAGTATTAACGGGTGTTGTTTTACTGTCGTTAAAAGTAACCAAATTATCTGAATGTTTCATTAGGACATGTCTTTCAACTTGATCAGCTGTATTGAAGTCGGAACCACAAAATCCACAGGTATAATCTTTATTCTCATTATTTTTATTATGAGGATCACATGGATTCTGATCATTTTTTCCATTGACATAGAACTGTTTATCATTTAAATTTGATTCACTAAGTGTATTCACATTATGATCATTCTTGAGATCATCATCTTCATCAGCATCTTCAACAGTCAGGTCATTGACATTACCCCCGTTATCATCATCATCATCGTCATCTATAGATAAATGAATTAATTCAGTATTCCACTGAGGTTGAGAATGATTTTCGTCAGGTTTATGTTTTTTTTGTTGGTGTCCTTGATGAAGAAAATGGTGATGGCGATGATGATGATGACGATCACAACTAGCTTCAACTTCACTTTCACTATCACTTTCCAATTCTAAAACATCATTTGGTCGATTGAATACAAATGAATTTTTCTGTTGTACAATCGGTGAAATATTTTGCATAGAGTTTAATTCAAATCCATGATCTTGATCATGACTTATCCCCGATTGAACTGGCCATACACATAAATTTGGACCAATTTCCATCTAATAGAAAATGAATATAAGATTAAAGGTTAAATAGGATCAAAGTAAATACTCGATTAAATTATCCTTAAAAAGGTTGCTATTAGCTCATACAGCTAAAGCATTAAGTGGTCAGAGTAGCTGGGCAAATGTAACTCAGTAATCCTATGGACACTTGCCTACTAGGCTATGGATAACATCACCAAATAACTACCTTGCAGCTATGATTACGGTTAAGTTGGTTAGACTAAAAGAAGCAGAATGGTTTGAAATCTGAGTTGACATCTAAGATATATATATCGACATTATAATGTATCTAATAGTGTGATGTTCAATTCAATAGTTTTCTGTTAGATTAAGAACATTATTTTGTTGTGTACAGTTTACAAAATAGAAAGACAGGAGGGTGATACTCATCAATACTATTCTTTTCGTCAGAATAGTAATATTATTTACAAACTCACTTCATGTATGAGTTTAAAGATCTTAGCTAGATAAGCACGAAAACAGTAATTCTAACATTGAATCAAAAGGTGGCTATTGTGCCTCAGTGGCTTAGTGGATAACGTTCTGGTGTTTGAAAGGAAGGGTACTGGGTTCGAGTGTGGATGGGAACAACATCACTCACTGAGGTACGGATACATCGAACTGATAAGTTCCAGGTAGGACGAAACGCGCATCCTAGATTTTTCTGCTGGTCATTAAGATCATTATGGTCAAGTAAGTGTTTAAAAACTTTAAAAATCTTGAAACAAAAGTATCCAAGACACAAAATGACCTAGTAATTCTTGAATGCTAGGATATGTTGCTTCACTGTTAAAATATTTCACAGTAAATCTTGTTAGAGTATTCGGAATAAAATCAATAATAATCAGCTGTGACCTGATGCTGAATAAAACTTCTTTTGTTTCTCACTAATGTCAAGTCAGTGCTTCTATGTGATGGTTGAGAGACTTGGCGCGCTAAGAAAAGTATCTCCAACAAACTACAGATATTAGTCGACAACTGCCACCTACGCTCGTTACTGAAGATCAGATGACCAGAATAATAAGAATAAGCAACAAGGAACTCTGGCTAATGACAAACCAACCAAGAACCTATTGACCAACAAATATTCAGGAGGAAGTGGAGATGGATTGGGCATGCACTGAGAAGACCATTCGGGGACATCACGTGCCAGGTCCTCTAGTGGAACCGAAATGGGAAACGATGAGTTGAGCGTCCGAGGGTGACATGGAGGGGATGGTGTGAGGAAGAAATGAGCGGTTGTTGGCAGTCGTATAGCCAGGTTCAAAAGATTGCAGAGAACAGAGTTCACTGGAGACGTGCTACTGAAGCCCTATGTTTCACTGGGAACCCAAGGGACAAATAATAAATAATAATAATAATAATAATAATAATAATAATAATAATAATAATAATAATAATATGAAAAGTAATCCTATGACTCCCAAGTTTGGTTCAACTGCTCCACCATGTCCTTCTTCAGAATTTCACAAACGGAACCTTTCTTCTTAAAACTATGAAGTGGAACATCGAATACCAAATTAATAATTATAATATTAATCATAATGATGATAATAAATTATGACCTGAAGGCAAAAAAAAATGCTTTTTAGTACTCATGATACACTAAATTATAAACACAACACAATGATAAATAAAATCAAAAGGTATTTCCACTTACGTGTTTTGATAATTGTTTATAATAATTATTATTATGAAATACCTGTTTTTATATTTTTGTATATGAAGGAAATCACTGACGTGTTTGTTTTAGAACACTAGATACCGGAATTGAAATCTTGTAAATTATTTTAGGTGTGTCTGTCACCAATATTGTACTTCACTGTTTAAATCCGAACTTGTGGTTTATTTATGTATTCACTTCTGGTTCTTCAGTGATCTATGTATGTGTATACATATATATTGTGTGTGTGTGTATGTGTGTGTGAAATAGCCGAAGCTTTGAAAGTTCAGTGGTGTAGACGTCCTTGTTACAGATGCAACTGAAGCAATGCAGTAATTTTTTAAAAAAATTAGATTGACAAACACGTGTAGTTAACGTTATATCTACAGAACTCAGCTGTAATACATGTCTGTTCATCTATCATTGATTTCGACATGCTTGACACGTGAAATCCAATGTGCATACAAGGCTTACAGTATTGACAAAGTATTTAACCAATGGAATGACGGAGACTTGATGGAAAGGTAGGGTTCATTTGCAAGCGCAAATAATAATAATAACAACAATACATACAAACATCCAGCTGGCAAATAGTAGTAAAAATGAGAGAAGGTCGATGGAATTCCAAGGTCATATTTCTTAGCGTGGACGGCATCTGCAACTGCAAGTTAGCTAAACGTTTTAATTTTGATGTATGTTTGTCAGCCCTAGGCTAAAATGCACTAGCCATGAATTCATATTTTGCATGATCATAGGCTGTTTCATTTGCATCGATTGGACCTATATGCAGCTACTTGTCATCAGTATTTATGGTTAGGCAAAGATAATGGTGTATTTTTTCTTCAATAAAATAAGTCCTAATTGACGTAAACGACTTATAATGTCGCACTGGCAAAAGAACTTCAAAAAAGGCTGAACTTTCTTAGGTGGAAATCGAAACGATGTGTGTTAACGTAGTTGCAAATCCAGTGATGAGAAGAGATTATTTCACTACTGGACTAATGAAAATGCTTTCGAAGGAAGACGTATTATTCACAAACAAATACAGTTGTTCTCGTGACTCATTAACCTACTGTATAACTCTCTGACATTTGAAGGGATGAGACATGGGTTCACTTCTCAGTGGGAGTGAAATCACTCACTGGGAGCCAAACACAGTCAGCTGATGAGCTCCAATTAGGACGAAACACTCCTCGTGACCACCACCAAGCAAGGTTTAACATGTGGGATATAACTGATTCAAGCCTTTTCCGCTTCGGAGCAATCTAAAACCAATCATATAAATATCGTTTGTGGATGTCAACCTGTAACGACCAGGTTTTGATAGGTTTTTGTTTAGCCTGTAGATAGGTACATTGTTGCAGGGTGTGCATAGAGCACTGTGAGTTTGGTGGTGACCACAACAATCTGGAAGGGAAAGGAAGAAGCAGAAACGATGAACCGGTGACTCAACAAGTAAAAGCGATTTACTTACGTTTAACAATAAAAAATAATTGACAAAAGTTAGAACTGGACAACAAAGAGGTGAGGCACTTTGGAAATCGAAACTGTAAGGCGGATGAGTGAGATTTCAAATGCGTTACACTACTCTCTCTTCATTGAAGGCACTATCCTCAGGGCCTGGTTGTACCTGAGTGAGTTAGAGGCTGGATAGAATGTATGAAGCTCGTGAGAGTTACATTCGAGTGGATGGCTGCTGCTGAGTGGACGTCGGTCTGAAAGTGAGCAAGCTAGATCCCACCTGCGACACCAAAACGTAACTACCTCCTGTTGACAGGTTTTCGTCTGGCCCTTAGGTGGGTAGGTACGTTGTTGCAGGGAACTCGTAGAATAGTGTGATTTTGGTGGTGACCACGAGAATCTGGAAGGGAAAAGAGGAAGGGAAAAGGTGGGCCGACAACTCAGCAAGTACAATATGAACAGTCGGACGAATAAACTTTATTAGAATGACGTTTTGCTAGCATATGAATACAGTGCTAGAGCATGATAAATTCTTGTTGAGGGAAGCAAACAACCATACTCAAGCCCTACGCTAATGTACTCAACTGTTCAGGTACATAAGAGTACAATACAGTAACGATGATTTTTACTGAATTCAAATATAGCTTGATAAAACTACTCAAAATGATATTTCTCTTTTGTGAAACTACCTTTAAGAAACTCTCGACATTTACGCCATACAAGCTTCAGACTATATTTTCCGCGGTTGAATAAAGACGTCGTTGCTATGTCAAGTTTATCTGATAATTGTGATGAATCACCTTTTCAATAGATTTCATAAAAAAAGAATATAAGACGAAAGAGACTGGAATATGCCAGGATACTTTGCTCATAAGTTGGTATTCACATAATTTTACAGTCTTCATTTAAAAAACTTGATTTCAAGGGGGAGAGCCTTAGCTACCATCAAATGAGTCATTTAAAATAACTTCTCTGAAGGACGGTGACTGACCTCATATCCTGTGCGTGTAAACGTATCTATTCAACAAATACTAGCTTATGATGATGATGTAATCAGCAAGGGTTTAAGCAGTTTGATTACCTTCAATATGCAAGGGAATAAAAAGATTTTAAGTTGAACAAATGGAAGTGAAGACGATGAAGCATTTTAATAATTAGCATTTGCATATATGGTTAGGTACCAGCGGACATGATCACACCACTACTACAGAAGGTTTGGAATGCAGAAAACGTACTTTCCGACTGAAAGAAGGGCTATCTGGTCAAACTCCTAAACAAGGGAGACCTAAGTCTTTGCAATAACTGGCGTGGAATCATGCTCCACACCTGTCCAACCCAAGCAAAATATTAAGCCACATCACCCTACAGACACTAAAAAAGTATTCTGGATTCAAAATTACCACCGGAACAGGCTGGCTGGCTTCGGGAAGAACAAATCATGTACCGATCATGTCGAAAAGCAACACTACATATCATCATAAAACAGAGCATGAAATGGGAGTCAACTGGATAGTTACCTCAAATCCATCGACTTTGAAAAGAAATTCGATAGCGTCGACCGACAAGTAATTTGGCAGACAGCTGCTGCTTCAACACTACACTTTTACTGTCACAAACATTTATCAATCTCATTCAACACCAGCTATATGCTATATGATGCTACATGCTACATACAACATGCAACACACCAAGTGATTCACAATGGAAAGCTGAGTGATGTGTTCGAAGTGAAGACAGGAAGGAGTAAGACGAGAGTGCCGCCTTCTATCACCGATCATCTTCGTGATTGTAGTCGAGTGGACTGGACTGGACTGGACTGGACTGGACTGAACTGAACTGGATCATGCAACAAACTGTGATGAGTTGTGAGAGGATGGGTATAGGCTGGGTGGACAGATGAAGAGACCCCAGAAGAAGATTTGTATTTCGCTACCGATGATTATCTATACCTAATAGCTTGTGGCACATACTCGAAGATCTACAGGCGAAAACTAAGAAGATGGCGGGAGAGACGAGGTGAAGCAAGGCGGCGAAGGAAGATGGGACTTCCTTCAAGTGAACATCGAGAAGACAGAGGTGATGAAGGTACCAAAACAATAATAATAACAACAACAAGAACCTGTCATCATGAAAAAGAGGAATCTTAAAGAAGTTGTCTCTTCAACATTCCTACCTATACAGAAAGCATCCTCTCAAATACAGGCAGCGGCGGTGGCAACGGAGGTGGTAGTAGTGGTGGTGGCGTGGCACAGATGACGATGTCATAGCAGACAGGATCCCAAAGACAGCAAGACAGACCTTCCTTCATTAATCTGTGGAGATCTACTGTACTGTACTGTACTGTACTGTACTGCACTGCACTCCTTTCCACTCCACTCCACTCCACTCCACTCCAATCCACTACACCACACTACACTACACTCCAATCCACACCACTCAGCATAAGGCGTGAACAACATCCGGATTCTCAACACCAAGTCAGTCAGGTATGTTGGTGCTTCTATGTGTTGGTTGAGGGAGTTGATGCGTTACGAGAAGCATTTCGAACGAAGTGCAAACATGCACCACATGAACAGTTGTCGTCTACGCTCACTTAGTACTGAAGATCAGATCAGATCAGATCACATCACATCACATCAGATGGTTGGATGGATGGATGGATGGCTAGAATAATAAGAATGAGGAAGGAGGAACTCACTGTGGCCTGGCAACGAACCAACCAACCAACCAACAACCTATCATCCAACAAATATGTGGGAGAAGAAGGAGAAAGTGCAGATGGTTTGGACAGTATTGGGCATAGACTGAGAAGATGGTTTGGGCACATCATGTGTCAGACCAGGCTAGGTTAGATCAGATCAGTTTAGGTCAGGTCAGGCCAGATCAGGCCGTCAAGTGGAGTGGAGTGAGAGTTAAATGGGGAACGATGAGTTTGGAGTCCGAGGTGAGTGTGACATGGATGAGATTGTGTGAGGAATAAATGAGAGGTTGTGGGGAGTCGTGTTGTGAGGTATGAAAGAGTGGAGAGAATATAGTGAGATGGTGACGTGTTACTGAAGTCGTATGTTTCATTAGGAATCTAAACGACGAATAATGGTACTGGTGTTAATATACGGTTGGTTAGAACAGGTGGTCAACTGCTACGTGAATCACTCAGTGTTAATGTAGCTGAAGAAACTGTATGTGAAGCGTTACGTCCTGCTGATTATTTTAATCCAGCTAACGTCTAGAACATTTTTGTCATGTATTCAATTTTCATTGCACATAATTTGTTCCTATTCCCCACCTTTTTGAGTAGAATAATTACAGGCTATTGATCACAGAATGAGATCAGATGAGCACCATTGAGACATACCTAACACTGAGTGGTTCTCAAGATTCGATTTCGTGGACATGAGCATTATGCATCCTGTAAACCACTATTTTCTTGCCTTACAGAGGGAAAACCTTCAGCTGAATTGTTATCCGTTTCTAATTTGCTTTGAGACGGATTTCTCGAAGTTGAACTAAGAAACGGTGACCTGTGGGGTCCGTCGAGTCGTGTGTGAGACCAAATACTCGTCAATCGCTTTCGATGATGGCCTCGCTAGAGTGTGAAATAAGATAGTACGAACCACTGAATTCCAATCCAGTGAATGAATGGCAAAACACACTTCACTAGACCTGATCATGCTGCGCTCGATGTCTTATGCGGTTGATGGTATACACCGCTAATAAGTCTTAAGTTTCCAGGTTTTCGGTGACTCTTCAACTGATGTAAATCGGTAATGAATACTAGCTTGAAATCAACTCATGCCCCAGAACCATTAATTGATTTCAGCTACGTTACGTGGAGAAACTGAATTCAAGCTTGACTAAAACATATTTATTCGAATCTTAGAAGCCTCGTATTCCTTTATATGAAAAAGACTAGATTTTCTTATTCA